ACTATATAATCATTATATTATTATTATTATTATTATGTATGAATTTGCAATTAAATTCATTCAAACTCAAAAATAATAAAAAATCTCAAGTGCTCGTAAATAAATTACCCGTCATATATGCAGACTACTACCACCCATTCAATTTAAGTTATCAGTGAGATTAAGCCTTAGAAAAAATCTTAATTTTAGAAGTCTCATGAAAGTGAATGTCTATGGAGATACAATAGCATCAAGAACAGTAAAAGTAGCAATCTCTACTTTAAGTGATTACATTCTCTCTCTAATTAAATTATAATTCTAATTAACAAGCTTTTTAGTAATATATAATTAAGGTTTCCTAGCAAGTTTTTTCTCTTTTCTAGTTAACATGACTTGGAGAAAAAGGGAGGGACCATTCTATATTAGGGAAGGTTGAAAGAAAATAGGGAGGAAGAAGGTACACGATGGCAAATGATTAGTTCATCACCTACACCATGTATTCCCTAGACATCTAAACCCAACAAGCCATTAAGCCATTAGTATATTCCAAGTGTTTTGCCACTTGTCATAGGCACTAATAAATTAATTAAGTTAGCACCCCCATGCCCTAACTTCAAAATAACATAAAGTAATAGCAATTTGGTAAGTAAAGGTAGCATAGTGCTTGGAATAAATTATGATGAAAGAAAAAAATAAATATACATTATTTTAATCTTTTGTATGTGATGGTTTCACAATTGGAGGAGATAGAAAATTAGCTGCCTTACAAGCTTCATTAATGATCATATGAAGCTTGTCAATTTTTAGAATTTGCCAAACTTGTATGATTTTTAGACACTTGATTTGAATTTGAACCTCCCACTCAGATATTTAGTTTGGAAAGGCATTGCTTGCATAATTTAGCCTTACAAATATGTGATTGATTTATAATGCTTAATTTGGCTCCACCATTATAATAATTAGTTATTGATAACCCCTTTGATGAGATCTCCATAATTGTATTAATCTTGATTATGATATTCATTATAATATTTCTTTCTTAATAAATAGTGTCATATATAATTGGAAGAGAAAAAAATATTGCCACATTTGCATGCTTCATAATAATTTTAAGACCATGCATGGGAGTAGCTCATGTGGTTAGAATTTTGATGCACCCATGATGACAATCACAACTCCTTGTTGATAACATCAAGCTTGCAAGTTTTGAAAAGTTTTAACACATGTGCAATCTTAATGGATCATTTTCATATTTGGAAGTTCATAGTCATGACAGTTAGCTTCCTCAAACATAATAAATATAATAGCAATTGAGAAGATGTTATGTACATTGAGATATAAAGATATTAAAAAAATGAACATACATTCTGTAGAAAAAATAACACAAAAAAGACAGTCTTATAATAAAGCATTTATATAATGTCATTGTATTCATCATATGTATTGAAGAATACCTTTTTAACTCACTTTCAACGTCATCTTCTAAGTCTTGGGAGGAATCCTTAGATGCTTCATTGGGGATAGTCCCTTGACATTGACAACAATCTTGTATTACATAGACAAACACCTTTTAAGAGATCATGGATAAAACTTTCTTCATGCTATCTGCACTTCAGGTTCTTAACCTTAGCTTGAAATATTTTATCAATACCTCATGAATATAATATTGGATTTTATACAATAGACTAAAGAGTTATTGAAGTCTTCCATAACCTTTGAGGATAAATCCTCTACTTGAAATTCAACTTTTGATATAATAATATCTATTTATGAGAGGCAATCTTATAAAGTTCTCTTCTTCTCCACATAAAAAACCTTCCTCTTCACTAGAAGTTCCTTAAAGGAATTTTCTCTATGATGGATTTTGGTCTTGCCTCAATTAGCTTATTATAGGAAT